TATTAAGTTAAGCTTAGTAATTAATACGTAGGGTGCTTCAGTAAAGAGTAGTGTTTATTAAGCATCTTGTGGAGTATTACTACTACACTGAGCTCAGTCATCACTGGGTATCCACACTTGTGCCCTTGTGCCAGGTTAAGTAAAGCTTAATTTCATATTGATACATTAATGGTTAGAGAGTAATTTTAAAAAATTTAAATTAATTATAGAATACAACTTTTTTCTATTGAACATGATTAGCCCTATATAAAGGGAGATAACTTATCCTTTGTACATGTAGCACAAAAGAAATATTTTTATTGAATCTCATGCCATAAATTTAATGGTTGATTGTCAAAGTTGAAACCATCAATAAGATGAGAATGCATTTAAAGGGTTGACATTTAGTGATCTTTAGGTATTTCTTGGATACGTAATGAGGAAAGAGGGCTTGGTGAATTTGACACTCACAGGATTTATTAAAGGTAAGAGTGACAGAGAGAAACAGGGAATAATCCAAATAATGAGTTCATTTAAATGGAGGACAGGGCAGGGACTGAAAAAATAGTAAGTAGACAAATATTAGTAAAATCTACAAATGATAGGAAGTTGTGGCGAGCCATGATCGCTCATATCTTAAAGGGACACAGCACAAATGAAGAAGAAGGAAAAAGTCTATTTATTAAAAAAAAAAATGAAAACTACTATAAAACATGAAAAACTGCAATAATATAGAAAAGCAAGTTAATGAGCAAAAAGCAAAAAAAAAGTTTTCTCAAACATTCTGTATCCATCTGAATATGAAAATCCTTATATTTGAGTTTCAGGTTTCTTTCTTCATTCATTTTTTGTTGTTAAAATAAATTGAGAAAGAGGCAGCTGAGAGTTCTGGAACACATAAGGAAAGAGGGTTTTGAAAATTTGATACTCACAAGACAATAAGTTTATGTAAATGGATGGTAGAACAAAGACCGAGAAGGTTAGTAAGTAGTAAATATTATTAAGAGCTACACTACAGTTGTGGATTGCCATGGTCACCCACATCCAGAAAGGATACAGCACATATAAGATGATCTGTAGCTTTATGTGTATTTCACAAGCTTCAAAATGCATTTTAACAACGTTAAAGAATTTGAGATTTAAATGGATCACTCAATCCAGACCAGAAAACTTGATCCAGTAATTACAAGCAAGAAGACAAGAATGTGTCAAATCATAGAATTTGCCATTTTCTGCAGACTATAGAATAAATCTGAAAGGAAATGAGCAGCTGGATAAGAATCTTATTTTTGCAAGAAAGCTGAAGAAATTGCGGAATATCAAAGTGACAGTTACACCAATTGATAGCAAAGTGCTAGAAACAGGTCTGAAGAAGCTAAAAAAATGCATGTGGAACCATTGCAACTATTCAGATGACAGAAACACTAAAATCAGACACATTACTAAGGCGACATGTTCTTATTTTGATTCCAGTGAAAACTCCCAGTTATTACTGATATGAAAACCTCAATGACTGATTTGTCTCATCAAGTGGCTGAGTGAACAAACTGAAATTATCATTGCCCATGTCTGGTTGCTTTCCAAAGCAAGTTATTATTAATATCAAGAATTCTATCTTTGAAACTAGCCTATATTTTTTTTAATCATTTCACCCCAAGCAAGGCAATAAAGTCACTAATATGTAAGGGGTTACTGAGTGTAAGATAATAACAGAAAAAGAAAACATTATCAAAGAGAGAGAACAATAAAAAGCAGGAATTAAGAAAACAGAAAATAATAATTGATATTGAATTTAAATTTTAGAAAATTATGAGCAAATAGTTAGCAACTTATCCCCAAGAAAGGAATAAAAACTAATCCGTTATCATTGTTATTAATTAATAGTTAGCAACTTATCTCTGAGAATGGAATAAGAAATAATCCCTTATTATTGTTATTAATTAATAGTTAGCAACTAATTTCCAATATTTTAACTGGATGGATACATTGTACAATATCATAATCTTGCAGCAGTATACACACTCCTTTATCTGGTTGTCTACATTGTGGAACAAAATACTCTTGATGTGGTTGGTACATATGTTCAACTGGTTGATTCCACTGTACATTATAAACTTGAAGTACCCTGGATAAAGCCTAGTGTGGAATAAATAGACAATGTTTACAAAGCTCATCTTAGCTCTGTACAAAGCCATCATTATGGAGCAGTCATTTAGTATCAAACTTGATTCATGATTTTCAAGAAATTCTTGATAACCATAGCACTATTCTTACAAACATTTTCACACCCATTCTTGCTTTGTCAATGTGCATATCTAGTCTATTAAAAGAGAAGAAATTTTTGAAGCTGAAAATAGGAATAGATTTTTTGAAATTTTGTTTTTTGTTACTTTGGAAGGCATCTAAAAATGTATTGAATGAAATGTTTTTGTTGAGAATTCATTGAAAACGAGGAAAAAATTATGGCAATCCTTAATAAGCGTAATATAATTGGAGTTGCTTTTAGTGACTTTGTCACATTTTATTAGTGAAGAGATCAATGAAAGTGATGTATTTAAACTCAGTACTTTTTAATAATTACTTGAGACATATATTAAACTAGTTTTGTTATAAGTCACTATTTTCATCTTCTTTTACTTTTTTACTTACACCCAATGAATAAAGCCAGAGACAAATAAAAGAAGTTTAATTAGATAGGCAAGAAAAAAAGAAGAATGAGAAATTCTAGATAAGAAGGAAAATTATAGGAAGAAGAAATATTTTCAGTTAGATTAAGAGAAAATGAAAAGTTATTAAATAATGATAATAGTCAGCAGTAACAGAAGTGCAAAATTTAAAGATAACAGTGATAACTAAAATCAACAGAGCATTGGGAATGAACCCAAAGAACTTTGTTACAAAGTCAAAAAAGGGTTTTATAAAAGACATGGAATAGTAAACTACAATCAAAAGGAACTCTGGTTGCTTGGTCAGTGAATGCTAAAAACAGCTAATATTACCATTAGCATTAGAGATGAGGAGAACAGATACTACACTTTGATTTCAGCCTGATGACCTGATTGAAAGCATAAATTGAGTAGCACTGGCTGCTCAGTCAATGAATACTGAATGTTTCCTTATAAGGAAACAGCTAATATTAACATTACTATTAGAAATGAAGAGAACAGATACTAAACTTATTATTTACTCATCACCCTCTCCCACAATGGTGGGATATGGAACAAGGCCAGTTTAAAGTGGGGAGTCCAAGCGTGTGCACATAGGTGAAGGCCAAAAATTGCCCAGTCTCTTTAACTAATCTCACACTATCATCAATATTCCACTGATCCCTCCTCTTTAGTGCAATGAGAGAGGTGCTGCCACAGGGTTGGAATTTCTGGGAGCAGGAATCCCTTATAGAATGTAGTTTTTTCCACCTGAAGGCAGATACTACACTTAGTATTTACTTGCCACCTCACACTGGCAGGATGTGACACATGGTCAGTTTAATGTGGGGATCCTGAGCGTATGCACACAGGCCAGGTACAAAAATAGCCCAGCCCTTGCAACCATCAGTTGCACTGGCATCAGTATGACTACTGACCTCCACTTTTAGTGCAATGAGGGAAATAGCGCCACTGTCTGAAAACAGAAACACAATTGAGAGATAAAATGTAGTTTGTCTGCTTGAAGGCAGATACTACACTTTGATCCTAGTCTGATAGCCAGGGAGTGAAGAAAAGCATAACTTAAGTGGCACTGGCTGTTCAGTCAATGAATGTCAAATGTTTCCTTATAAGGAAACAACTAATATTAGGATTATCATGATTTTGCTAAGTTTGCCTAGAACACTGAGAAAAAAATGAAAGATTTGAGAAAATCTGGTGTAAAGACAGAAATCATTCATATAATAGCAAATTTTTGCAATGACAGACAGACAGACAATCAATTAAAAACAAAGCTGCATATATTTACTAAGTTTTAGCTTACACAAGGTGAAAAATGAAAAGCTGATGCAGGAAGATCATGTTGGACCAGTATTTTAAGTGGGAGAGGATCTGCCTGCTTTGAAAATCAGTATTCAAAATCATAACCTTTACAAGAGATCCAAGTTCTGGTACTGGCAGTAGTAGGCATGCATCAGATTTGGGAGACTATGGATTCTACTTGGTTAGCTAGCTAATCCTTGTTGCAGACACCTGCTCAGTCACTTTGGTGATTCTTCAACACTTGCAGAGACAACCTATGGATTATACTGTGACTATGTTGAGGAGACCTTAATTAGAATTTCTGGAAGAGAGCACAAAATATGGTATGGCTGGTCAGAGAACAAAGTACCCTGAAACCCTCAGTCACAATGACTTGATTACCTAGCACAACTATCCACAGCTTTCTAACAGTTTCTTCTACCTACTTTTACTGACATGATTTTTGCCAATATAGTTTTTAGGCGCTATCCAATGGTGCCATAAACTGGGATCATTGCTGATATTATGAAGAAGTCATTTTGAAAAATCGACCATATAGAGATTTTAACCCAGGTCCCATGGTTGGAATACCAATGTTTTATCTACTTACCCCTGTACTTATTGGCACTGATATTAAATAAAAAAATAAATTTAGAAAATAGGTTGCTACAAGAGAAATAATTAGTGAAATAACTGTGACAAAATCTAAAATTTCAAAGAAGTCAAATTTGAGATCTTGTCAAAAAAAAAAAAAATCACCAAATAAGAGAAAATAATTAGCAAAAGATTAATACATTTGATTGAATGACATAATTTTTACGGTTTGTCAACCTTTTGCAAGTTATTTAAAGCCAGAAAATATTTTTAAATTCTAAGAATTTTTTTAAGATAATAATGATTTACAGGTACAAGTCCTACTATTTAACCAATAGCTGGAGGGAGAAGAGGTGGATCCATATCTTTCTAAAGAGTATTTGTTTGTAAGTGAATATAACAAACCCAAGTAGAAATGGAACTTGGCTTTCTGATTTCCAATTCCGAGCCATTATCCATTACACCACCTGTATATCCAAGCTTACTACACCTAGTATTTCCAAGTGGTCCCCCATGTAGATACTGACTAGGCTCAACATTGCTTAACTTTGGTGATTGCATGAGAACTGATGTTTCAACATGACATGGCTGTAAGCTAATACATATGATAAAAACAAGTAAAAAGAACAAGCAATGTTATGTAACTTAGCAGCAGAAAAATATAACTATTATAGAATTGACAGTCATATCAATACTGAAGAGAGCACTGGGTACAATAAAAAATATCTCAAAATAACAAAGTAAAGATAAATTTAGGCAAAATACTATTAATAAATCCTAATACCCCTGAGGAAGGTATGAACCCATCTCTTCTCCTCACCAGCTATGTGTAAATAGCAGAATAGGTTCTATAGCCTTGGGTGGCATCTGGTCTAGGAGAAGGAAAAGTTTGAATTCAAAACTGTATGTTATACTGGCAATGCACATATTATGCAGCTAAGGAAAGGATCATTCACATTGAATTGATGATCCCGACTATGGTTGACTATTAATACTAATACTAAAAATTGAATATAGCATGAGTACTAAAAATGTTTTTAGCTGAAAGGAAATATTTTACATGACCTGCCACTGAATTTATTGATGTAAATAAATTTAAAGAAGAAAATATGGAGAGTAACAAAAGCACAATTCAAAAGACAGGAAGAGGAAGAAAAATCAGCAGTGCATCAAACAGACAAGAGAAAAGATAGTGACGGAAAGAAAATGTAGCCTCAAACCAAACACTGAAAAGAAAATACAGGAAGAGGAAGAAAAAAGCTACCAAAAATCAAACACATAAGAGAAGAGACAGGCAGAGGAAGAAATGATTGTCAAAATATCAAACATGGAAGAGAAAAGACAGCAAGAAGAAAAAAATGAAGAGTATCAGATATAATGAAAGGGAAAGAAAAAGAGCAAGAAAAAGTGAGAGTAATCTAACATGCCAGAGAAAAATCAAGAAGATGGAGTCTATGAAACATGAGAAAAGAGTCAAAGAGGAACGTTTGAGAGTATCAAGCACACAAAAGGTGAAAATATGACAGAGAAATAGAGTGGATGTTATTGATCTAAACCATTTCATGTTTTATATCAAGGAAGCCAATGTTTTAACAATAAAATTTCTATTAACCAATGGTGATAGGATTTTCAGGATATTAACCAATGGTGATATGATTTTCAGGATATCAAGTAAAAAATAGAATACTTTTTTTTATGCTACAATATTTCAGATTTTATTATTCAAGTCAAGATTTTTAAAATAAAATTGATATTTCAGGATAGATTTATATTTATATCAGCAAATTATATGAGTTAAAATATCAATCCTTATTTTTTTTTTTAAATATTGATAATAACTTGTTTTAGGAGTGTCGAGTTTTATTATGAAGCACACTTAATGTAATATAAATTTTATTCATAAATAAATACAAGAAATAGAACCCATAGAAACATATTTCATTAGCACAATATCTTATATGCTTGAATAAATTATTTTATTATTTCACATATTAATATTTACTTCTTGACATTCTATAAACTTCATCAATCTTTCAGTCATTGATTTTGTTAACTTTTCATCTATTTCAACTTTATCATGCAGTATTTTTATTGCTTCCCATAGATCTATGCTTGAATATATATTCTCATATATATCTTTTTAATGATGGACTATTTTGTACTTGATAAATATCAGGAGAAGTTTACAGGCATTAAATATTATCAATATATCATGTGAATGTTGGCTTATAATGTTTTTATTGGAAATATTTACAATAACTTGTTTGATTTTGTGAGTTTTTATTGTGTAACTTAGGAGTTGTTCATCTGTTCATCGTATCGGAAATCAATATCCATAATAGGATAAATATTGATATTTATATGTATTGTAAGCATATAACTTCAACTTGGAAAGAGGATATTATAAAATTATTGAGTAATCTGAACAGAACAGGAAATTGTATATAAGTTGAACAAAGATCAAAGAACAATCAAAAAAGAAATTGAAAACCTTAGGAAAACAACAACAACAACAAAAGTGTCTTTAAGGAAGTCACAAAAAGAAATTTGAGGAAAAAATTAAAAATGGTAATAAAAAGAAAAAAATGTTTGAAGAAGCCATTGTTGCCAATGTACACAGAAAAAAAAGAAGCAGAATATTAAGAACATTGGCTAAAGATGTGAAAGCAGCCAAAACAACTACTTTTAAGTTGACATCACAGAGAGAAACAAGTTGATTGCAAAATGAATATGAAACTGATTTTGCAACAGGAATTTTTAGTGATGAATATAGAGCTACATCGGATGGACCTATGGCTGGACTAGAAGTTGTGTCCTTCATGGAAATATCCAACCAACCTGACAAATCAATAGTGGAGAGAAGGTATAACAATGTTTTCAGCTAGTATTATAGGCAGTAAAATTACAAGTCTCTTGGTGATGGTATCAAGATAAATATAGACAGTCTAATTTCTGAGACAAATCATTTTTTAGGGGTACACACAACAGACAAGAAGCTTTAAGCCAAATATATATAGTATTCATATAAGACAATTTTCTTTCTGCACATGTAACTATTGCCAACTTTGCTGAAAAATGTTTTCAATGGAACCGACTTAATGGAATGGTTATAAACTTCTCCTGATATTAATCCAATAGAAAATGGTCAATAATTAAAACAGTATATATGAGAATAGAAAACAATATACAAGATAGGATCTCTGGGAAGCAATAAAATACTGCAAGTATTGTAATGTTGAAATAGATCAAAAGTTAACAAAATCAATGACTGAAAGACTGTTGAAGGTTATAGAATGTCAAGAAGTGAATATTAATACGTGAAATAAAATAAATTATTAAATTTTAATATGAAATAATAAAATAAATTATTAAATTTTAATATATGAAATAATAAAATAAATTATTCAAGCATATAAGATATTGTGTTAATGAAATATGTTTCTATAGATTCTATCTTTTGTATTTATTTATAAATGAAATTTATATTACATTAAGTTTGCTTTGTAATAAAACTTGACACTCAATTTAAAAAAAAGATAAGGATTGATATTATAAAATTAAATTCACATGATAAGTTGCTGATATAAATATGAATCTGTCCTGAAATATCAATTTTATTTTAAAAACATTGACTTGAATAATAAAATCTGAAATATTGTAGAATAAAACAAAAATAATTACATCTATTTTTTGTTTTGTACATGAAGAAATACACACCTCTTTATACAGAGAACACGTTTTTCAAAATGTGTTTATTAAACAGGTAAGGCTTGAAAAAAAATTTTCAATAAATTATATTTGAGATGAATTTTTGTTATTTTTTTCCCACAGATATATGAACATTGTTTTTTTTTGTGTCAGGTTTGGTGTTTGAAGTCAACTTGGCCATTTAATACCAGAAAAGTAAAGAGGAAATTATCCAAATGAAAACTGATTAAAATTGGATGTTAAAATAAATTATATTTTATTTATTCATCCATTTCTCTTTTCTTTCACTCATTTTCATTTTTATAAAACAGCAGTTTCAAGTCTATGACTAATATATGAAGTGAAACAAGACAAATTTGGAAAAAAAAAATCATAAAATGTAAATAAATAAAAGTCCAGAAATATATGTGGAGAATATTTACACATATGGACACATATCTGGTTTATGTTACAACCTTATAAATAACATACATATGTCTACATCCATGAAAGATATAACTAAAATCTGTAATCAGTTGATTCAATGATAAAATTAGGAAAGCAATCAAAATATTTGTTTCATTCTTCTTTTATATATTTCTTTCAAGATGTGGACTATTAGGGCTATTTACAATTTCCTATCTTTTGTAGATTTTTTACAATCCACTTCCCATTCACTGCCCTGCCACCTATTTACTATTTACCACCAACCTTGTCAGGTAGTTGTTCCTCTGTCCCCACTGGTCTTCAATGTCCTTGAGTGTCAGATTTTCCAGGCCTTCTTTTTTCATTGGGTCCAAGAAACTGCAGCTGACATTTTGTTTTCATTTTCCTTAAAACATCCTCATTGCTGTGATGCACTGTCTGTTTTATTCTCACCATCCTTATGTAGAACCACATCTCTGTTGCATCATGTCTCCTCTTCATCTGTGAGGAAACTGTCCAGAATTCACTGCTATATAGGAGGATTGACATTACATAGAACTTCAGCACTATTTTCTTTGTTTCTAATGAAATGTTCATGTTTCTTAATACTTTGTTTAGCATTTGGAAGACATGAGGAGATTGTTCAGAATTCATTGCCATATAGTAGAATTGACATGACATAGTTCAGCACTATTTTCTTTTTTCTAATTAAATTTTGTTGTTTCTTAATACTTTGTTTAGTTTTTGGAAGGCAACTTTTACTATTCCAATATGCATTTGGATTTTAGTGCCACATTTTCCATCCTCTTTTTTTTTTTTAAATTTGAGTTAATCCCAAGCAAGCCAGTACTGTTGAAGCACCTAACCCTGACTCCTAGGTTAAATTCTTAGTGCTCCACCACCACATCCATGTAAAGACACTTCTGAATCAGTATTAGATATACTGCAAATTCAAAATGACATCTAATTAAGCACTGTAAAACTTATAGGCATTTTTGTTTGTTTTAGATTACATTAAAATAGATGTCTCCAGACAAATGTCTATAGCTATATCACTATACCTACAAACCTAGAGGATTGGCCTTTGCAGACGTCAGCTGTCTAGATAATGTCAGCAAGGTACAAACATTTGGGCTTTTAAATTCGAACAACTAAATAAAATAAAACTATGCATTTTTATAAAACTCTAATATTAATTTAATTATTTGCAAAGCAAGTTACTTTTTAAGTGTGAGAGAATTTTTAAAATAAAGGAAAAAATATTTCTTGGTTTTAAGGCTACCCTGCTTCCCAATTACCACCCTTTTTTTTCTAACAACATTGTTTTTTCTCATTACCCATTCAAGCTTTCCACCAGCCCTTTTTTTAACTGCACCCTTTTTTCTTCTCTTCCTCATGGATCTTTCCACTACCAGGATTCATATATAATTCAGGAAAGATATAGACAGGAACAAAACAGTGCTTGAGGAAAACAATGGAT